TACATGCAACAAACTGAAAGATAGACATGCAACAACCATTTTCAACAACACAAAATAGTGATCAAAAGTCAAAATAAATAAATGCATTAGATGATAAATAATGCATGAACATTTATACAAAAGCTCAAATGTACATAATTAACACTACACATTTAAAAGTCTTAAATGCAAAGAAGAACAATAAAAAATATGTTGAAGCAATGAGATAACAATAAAAGATAGCAAGCACACAAATGAATACATAGAGAAAATACACACAATGATAGAGTTTAGAGACATATCAATGTAATCGGAAAAGTAAAATTTGCTACAAAATAGTGTTAGTGAAAACAAAATATATAGCAAATTAAACAAAGCAGAAAACTTATTCTATTTCAAGCACGAGGAATCTAAGATCCCTAAATCCCTGCAGATTTTGTGAAAAGTTTCCAATGACAATGATTTTGTAAAAATGCCAGCAAGCCAAATTTTAGTGTCAATGTATTCAAAAAATTTGTCACATTTTTCAACACAATCGCTAAGAAAATGGTGTCTGATCTCAATGTGTTTAGTTCGTGAATGAAGTATACTATTCTTAGTAAGGCTAATTGCACTAGTACTATCGCACTTAATAGGAATGAAACTAAGTTTTAAATCATAGTCTAGCAATTATTACTTTAGCCATAGGATTTGTACAAAACAATTACCAATGTGTATGTTTTCAGCTTCGGCGGTAGAAAGAGCAACACTATGTTGTTTTTTACTATGCTAAGAAACTAAACAACTTCCAAATAAGTGAATGGTACGAGTAGTAGTTTTCATATTTGACTTGCACCCTACGAAATTAGAATCAGAATAGCCTACTAAGTTACAAGCACTACCTTTAGGATACCAAAGACTGTATTGTGAAGTTCCATTAAGATACATCAAAATACGTTTTATGATCTTAAAATGTGATTCCTTAGGTGATGCTTGATATTTAGCACATATACACACACTAAACATGACAAAGTTGAATATGATATCATCCCCACCAGAGAGAACAAACACTCAACATATACAATCCACACATCTTAAATATGCTATAAGTGTGCTTGTCATTTATGGGGATCGTCACTTGCCAGTTCAATGACGATCCCATATTTTGGTATGCAAATATCCTCAATAGAGTAGAAAGATCAGATTCCCATGACCTCGTCATCTACCCATGGATAATCACTAATATCTGAAGGCAGTTCTAGAGCTGGGAGTGACACTTTACTTACCATGTTTTCTTTGTTGTTGAAAGAAAAAATGTCGATTGTAAGTTGAACACATAAAATTCTCTTCCAACCACCATCTCACTTCATCCTCGGTAATCTTACACTTGAACTACATTAGCAAACCATTTCAACCTTAAGTGCTTGGGGTCATCCATTAGATTTTTAACAACGACGAGGTTAGACATATTGAGTTTCTTAAAACTAAAGTTTTCTCATACTTGCCTTAGTTCGGTTAGAGTCAGTTTGAATGAGATAAAACTTCATATCATAATGATTAATCACCACTAGTTTGGTTCTAGAATCATATCACTAATTCATATCTATCAGACATTTTTTTTCCAGTTTTCTTCCTTCATGAACAAATATAAAAATTTGAATAATAATATTTTAATTTTTAAAATTTTAATTTTTAAAGTTTATTTTCAATTTTTAAAATTTGTTAGTTTTTTGATAAAAACATATTCATAAAATGCACAATTTTTACTTTAAAAAGGTATGCATTGACCTCTCCCATTTACAGAAGCCCTATGTTTATTAGTTTTTTCATTTTGCTCGATTTACGTCGATTATCATCTATTTGATTACATGATTGATCCAATAATCAATTCATAGCAATTATCTTGACAATTTCTCATTGTACCCTTGTACAATGGGGTACATCTATGAAAATCCCAAAATGCCCTTAGGTGAATTCGGAAATACATCTCCGAATGCACCAAATACTATTTTGCCTAAATTTAGTTCGGAGATGCATCTCTGAATTCACCCAAGGGTAAATTCACAGGTACATCTCTGAAGTCACCTTTCATCCTTAGTAAATCAAACAGCCTCCCCATTTCGTAAGAAATAACTTCGGAGATGTATATTTGAATTATGTGTGGAGTAAATTCGGAGATACATCTCCGAATTATTGCATGTGTGTTTTTTTCAGAACTAGTTTACAAAGATTGTGGTGTTTTCAATCTAAACTAATTTTAATTCGACTAACATTGCTGTTATTTGTTTTAGCAATTAATAAAAATGAATATTATATAACTGAATAATGCGTTAATAAATCTAAATATTATAGAAATGAATATCAGAAATATTATAATAGTACAACAATTATTCTCAAAGTCAGTGAAAAATAAACAAAATACAATCAAAAGCATAGTTTACTGAGTATCCTAACACTCAGACCCTTCCTCTGCCTACGGTAATCCAAGGCATTATGTGCCTCGATAAGAATGGAACATGGTAGAGCAACCGCTTCATCTCCATCTCTCTCAAACAACCCATACTCGATGCCCTATCTTGTCATCCCCATAATATTTTGACAGCACACCAACACATCAACGACATGTTCATATATGGTATGCTCATTCTCCAGGATCTCATTATAAGCATGCCTAGGTGGACGTCTAGGAGCGTCTTGTGTCATTTAATATTGTGACACATTATAGAATCAAGTCATGTAACCCTCAACATAACTCCATTGAGATGTGACTTCATGACTATGATATTCCACCGATACCAGACGACTCTCAAAATCGGCTAGAATGTCATTCAGATGTCTATGGATAATACTGATATGAGCAGCCTCGAGGGGGACCTCAAAATGATCTCCACGTATCCAAACTGCCACATGCACCACTCAGGCAGATACATGTACATGATATTAGTCCCATATGCCAACCATCAAGAGTATAAGGAAATGTGGTCGAATGAAATTCTTTTCTGGTGAGTAGCGTATGACATCCAAACAACGTTATCATGCTGAGTCAGGTCAGTATACACGGAACGACGAGATAACATCATTCCCTCTGTTAGGGATAATCCGACAAATAAATGGATAATCCTCAGTATACAATAGGTCATGTTAAATCCGTGAATGCGATGATAGTAGGCAAGGATCCATCCCTAAAAACGAATAAGAAAAAAATATTAGTATCAAGTGTAAAAAAAAGTTGTTCGTAACTTAATAGTGGAATTTGAAAATCATCGTAAGCAGTGTGCATGAGCCTGTCATTTGTTTTGTCATCCATTTACAACCTTCGTTCAGATTAGAGTACATTTCCAAAAACAAAAGACATTTTAGAATTTTTTTTAGAAACAAATGGTGAAAATGAAGATTTGGTGTGTCAGAATACACATCTGCAAAAAAAAAATTTAATTTTTTTTGCATAAGATTTAAAAAAATGTACAAAAGTGCAACGAGAAATTGTCATTATCTTTTTTATTTTTGATTTGACCGATTCACCCGCATATCCAAATCAATTTTAAAAATAATGCATGTTAATCTCAAATTGATTATACATCAAATATTAATTTTATTTTTTAAAAGAAAATATAATTCAATTAATAAAAAATAACAGAGTTAGCTGATTTAATTTTTATAACATTTAATCACAAAATTCAAATCAAATTAATGAAAAAAAAGTTGCCTTGACTCGACTTAATCCAATAAAATAAATATTACAAAAACTTTAATAAAAATAAATATTAAAAAACCGAGTAAATTTAATTTATTTGGATTCAATACACGTATGATGCACCTTTATACGGTGTGTAAAACATTTTTTACCTACAACACAACGGTAAAAGCGGTTTGGCTGTCAAAATAATTCTCACGAAAAGAAGATTAGATATTTAAAAAAATGTAAAGAAGATATTTATTTATACTATATAATAATACTAGTACTAATTTCTTCCCTAAAGTATTGATTAAATCATGGGTGGCCGGTAGTGTTTGTTGTTTTTGTGACGACTTAGATAAAACTCGTTTCTCTTGTCTGTCTTTCACCGTGTCTCGCAAAGGTGACAGTTGGATGTTTCAAAAGACCACTTCTTATAAAACACTCTCTATTTCTTGAATCTTTCATCATTCTTTTTTCAATTCTATTTTTCATCTCTTTTTCATTCTTATAATAACCACTTTTCATACATAGATCTCAAACTCACTCTTATTCACCTTTCACGCTGCTGCTCGTAAGCTTCTTTACTCTATTATCTGCTTAAACCCTTATCAAAATCATGCATTAGGTATTCGAGCTTTTTTTTTGTGATAGTGATGGTTGATTGATTGATTAATTGCCGATAATCACGGCGAGAAGTTAGATGAAAAATGGGTATGAGTGTTGATTTTTTTTTGTTGGTATTTTGGATTTTGAAGCAATGTAGTGAAGTCAAAAGGGTTTTTTCTTTTTTCAACTTAACTTCAATTTTTGTGCTTTTCTTTCTTCGTCTTGGTGGTCACCAAGAGTCATCTATGAAGGATTGAGCTTTTTTTTAGATCTCTTACTGTTCATTAGTTGAGTGTTTACATGTGTTGCTGTTAAGATTCAGGTGAATCAATCTGATGATTTTTATTGTTTAGATGATTAAGTTATTTCTGAAAATCTAATGATTTTTTTTTTTTTGTATATTCTTCAAAACTTAACTTAGATCTAGTGTTTTGTTCTGTGAATCTATGTCAGAAAGATGTAGAGGAATCACTAGCTAGTTTCATTTCATATAACCTTGCAATTGATTGCGACTTGAATGATGTGATGTGTCTTTACATGTTCAGGAATAATTCCCTTTAATATTTTTTTTCTCTCTCTCATCATAGTACTTTTTTGAGGTATTGATTTGCAATTTTGCATCTTTAAGATTCATTTTTGAACTTTTGTTTTTGTTCACGAGAATTTCATGAAGTTAATTTTGATGCTGATGAGGTTCTGATTTGCTAAATTTCTGAATTTCAGGATATTAATATAGGATCGATCTTTGTCCTCAAATATGTTGAATTCGAAATCTTTAAAGATAAGCAGATCGTCTCTGTCATCAACTTCTGATGCATCTGAAGCAAACAGGCCTCCTTTACCTCCGACTGTAACATTTGGCCGAAGAACTCCCTCGGGTCGATACATCAGTTACTCCAGAGATGATCTTGACAGTGAGCTAGGAAGTCACGATTTCATGAATTATACGGTGCATTTACCACCGACTCCTGATAACCAACCTATGGATACGACGATCTCACAGAAAGTTGAGGAGCAGTATGTGTCGAGTTCTCTCTTCACGGGGGGATTCAACAGTATTACTCGAGCTCATCTAATGGATAAAGTGACTGAATCTGAAGTGAACCATCCGCAGATGGCCGGTGCGAAAGGGTCTTCGTGTGGTGTTCCTGGTTGTGATTCTAAGGTGATGAGTGATGAACGTGGTGTGGATATTCTTCCTTGTGAGTGTGATTATAAGATATGTAGAGATTGCTATATAGATGCAGTGAAAACAGGAGATGGAATGTGCCCGGGATGCAAAGAACCGTATAAGAACACAGAACTCGATGAGGTGGCTGTGGATGATGGAAGGCCACTTCCACTTCCCCCTCCAGTTGGGGCGTCTAAAATGGAGAGGAGACTGTCCTTAATGAAGTCGTCAAAATCTGCCCTAATGAGGAGTCAAACTGGTGATTTTGATCACAATCGGTGGCTCTTTGAAACAAAGGGTACCTATGGTTATGGCAATGCTATCTGGCCAAAGGAAGGAGATTTTGGAAATGGAAAAGATGATGTTTCTGAGCCAACCGAGTTGATGAGCAGACCATGGAGGCCACTCACGCGGAAATTGAAGATACCCGCTGCTGTTCTCAGCCCATATCGGTAAAATTCCTTTATTTTTTCTCTTTTATTCCCATAAGATGTTTTTGTTTTTGTTTTTTAATATTGATAGATGCATTTTATGGTTTTACAGTCTCATCATTTTTATTCGTATGGCGGCTCTTGTACTGTTCCTGCATTGGAGGATCACACACAAAAATACTGATGCTATCTGGTTATGGGGAATGTCTATAGTTTGTGAAATATGGTTTGCTTTCTCTTGGCTTCTTGATCAATTGCCTAAGCTATGCCCAGTAAATCGTTCTACAGATCTTAATGTTCTGAGGGAAAAATTCGAATTACCAACTCCTGAGAATCCTACAGGAAAGTCTGATCTGCCAGGCATAGATGTCTTTGTCTCAACTGCTGATCCTGAGAAAGAGCCACCTCTTGTCACGGCAAACACCATCTTGTCTATTTTAGCTGCTGATTATCCTGTTGAGAAGCTTTCTTGCTATGTTTCTGATGATGGAGGCGCACTTTTAACTTTCGAGGCAATGGCTGAAGCTGCTAGCTTTGCTAATGTGTGGGTTCCATTCTGCCGCAAGCATGATATAGAGCCTAGGAATCCGGAATCATACTTCAACTTAAAGAGAGATCCTTACAAAAACAAAGTGAAACCTGATTTTGTGAAGGATCGTAGAAGGCTGAAGCGTGAGTATGATGAGTTCAAGGTCAGAATCAATGGTTTGCCCGAGTCTATCCGTCGCAGATCAGATGCTTTTCATGCAAGAGAGGAAATCAAGGCCATGAAAGTTGTGAGACAAAACAGGGGAGATGAACCTGTTGAGCCTATAAAGATTCCAAAAGCAACATGGATGGCTGATGGATCTCATTGGCCTGGGACTTGGTTGAACACTTCATCCGAGCACTCTAAGGGTGACCATGCTGGCATAATTCAGGTATAATTAGCAAGCTTTTGAAATTGCTGATGCAATATTTGATATTATAAATAACTGCCGTCAAATGCGGCTAATTCAATCCCTTGTGGCCGCAGTCGCTGAGACATAAAATACATTGATGTTGCAGCCCAGATTCCAATTGCAGTTTTTTTTTATAAACAATGCTAAGTAGGTCCTAGAAGTTAAGTTTATTCTCTGGCAGATGAGAATGAATAATTAACGTTTGATAAATGATATTTGCAGGTGATGTTGAAACCTCCAAGTGATGAACCTCTTATTGGAAATGCTGATGATGCAAAGCTTATTGACTTGACTGATGTTGATATCCGTCTTCCCCTTCTTGTTTATGTTTCTAGAGAGAAACGCCCGGGTTATGATCACAATAAAAAAGCCGGAGCCATGAATGCATTGGTCAGAGCCTCGGCCGTCATGTCCAATGGTCCTTTTATACTCAATCTTGACTGTGATCACTATATCTACAACTCCAAGGCAATGAGGGAAGGTATGTGCTTTATGATGGATCGTGGCGGTGACCGCCTCTGCTATGTCCAGTTCCCTCAAAGGTTTGAGGGGATTGATCCTTCTGATAGATATGCTAATCACAACACTGTCTTCTTTGATGTTAATATGAGAGCCCTTGACGGACTTCAAGGGCCAGTTTATGTCGGAACTGGTTGTCTGTTTAGAAGGGTTGCTCTTTATGGTTTTGACCCTCCACGTGCCAAAGAAGACCATGCAACTTTCTGTAGTTGTTGCTTTGGGCGTAATAAGAAGAAGCTTGCCAACACCTCAGAAGAGAACCGGGCACTAAAAATGGGTGACTCTGATGATGAAGAAATGAATCTTTCATCCTTTCCTAAGAAATTTGGGAACTCAAGTTTTCTTATTGACTCAATTCCAGTGGCAGAGTTCCAAGGTAGGCCACTTGCTGATCACCCTGCTGTGAAAAATGGACGCCGACCTGGCGCTCTCACCATACCCCGAGAACTTCTTGATGCATCAACTGTTGCAGAAGCCATAAGTGTGATCTCATGTTGGTATGAGGACAAGACTGAATGGGGACAGCGTGTTGGATGGATCTACGGGTCGGTTACGGAGGATGTGGTCACTGGTTATAGGATGCATAACAGAGGATGGAAATCTGTTTACTGTGTGACCAAACGCGATGCCTTCCGCGGAACTGCTCCCATCAATCTCACTGATAGGCTGCATCAGGTTCTTAGATGGGCTACTGGTTCAGTTGAGATATTCTTCTCCAGAAACAATGCAATTATGGCCAGCACAAGAATGAAATTTCTTCAAAGGATTGCATACCTTAATGTCGGAATCTATCCATTCACCTCTTTTTTCCTTATCGTCTATTGCTTCCTCCCTGCACTCTCCCTCTTCTCAGGACAGTTCATCGTTCAAAATCTCAATGTCACTTTCCTTGCCTACCTCTTGGCTATTACCTTGACTCTCTGCATTCTCGCCGTGCTTGAGATTAAATGGTCAGGAATCGAGCTGGAAGAATGGTGGAGAAACGAGCAGTTTTGGTTGATCGGAGGAACCAGTGCCCATCTAGCAGCCGTTCTTCAAGGTTTACTCAAAGTTGTAGCAGGCATTGAAATCTCATTCACATTGACTTCAAAATCTGGCGGTGATGATGTGGACGACGAGTTCGCTGATCTTTATATCGTCAAATGGTCATCCCTTATGATACCGCCAATCACAATCATGATGGTAAACTTAATAGCAATAGCTGTTGGAGTTAGCAGAACCATATACAGCACCATACCGCAGTGGAGCCGTTTACTCGGCGGCGTTTTCTTCAGCTTTTGGGTATTGGCCCATCTCTACCCTTTTGCGAAAGGTTTGATGGGAAGAAGAGGGAAGACACCTACCATTGTTTTTGTATGGTCAGGTCTAATAGCAATCATAATATCACTCCTTTGGGTGGCTATCAATCCACCAGCCGGTAGTTCCAACCAAATCGGAGGGTCCTTCCAGTTCCCATGATCATAGCTCATATTTTTTGTCACATTATTACAATTTTCCTTGGGAGTTTAAAATTCTTTTACTCTTGATTCAGCAACTCAGTGACGACAGTGAATGAACTTGAATGTTTAGTTTGCTTGTGAGTTTTATTCCAGAAAGTTGTTTTCAGGACACAGAAATGTTTGATGGTATGATATTGTCCAGGGAATATTATTAACTTGCTGACTCGAGTGTTCTGTATTCTGTTTAGGATTTTTTCTGAAAATACTTTATCATATGATTCTACTTATTCTACTATGTCTCTTAATCAATGTTTTAAAAACCTGGGGATCGAACTATCGATCAGATGAAACTTGTGGTTTAAGATTAAATTGGTTTAATAGGTTAAATGTGCGGTCAAATTGTTTATTAAATAAATTAATAATATAAATAAATTAATAATATTAATATAAAATTAAATTTTATAGTTATGTCACACATAAATCATAATCATATGTCACAACTTAATGTTTTTGCACACATATTAAGGGATTAAGGGATGTAATAATATTATTATAATACATTATATTTTTACTAAATTAACCTTATAAATATGTTGGAAGTAATGTATATAGTAATAATTTAAGAGCATAATTAGAATAATAGTAATCATTTTTACATTAAAAAGTGAAAATAATTTTTATTTAAAAATAAATTATATTTATTAAAATGACAATTATTTTGATTTGAAACAGAGGGAGTAAATATTTTAAAAATGACAATAAATATATGTCTTGTTTGTTTCAGTTTTAAAGAGATGTTTTTTTTTTTGTATTTTTAAAAATAGTATTTATAAAAATGTTTTTCAAAATATTATAATTTTTTTTTATATTTATTTTTAATTTTAAATTGAAAAACTAATTTTGATATCTTATATTATAAATATATATTATTGAAGATTAAAATATATTTGAAATTAATTTTTTTTAAACAATTATATTTTAAAAATGATTTTTATAAAAAAATATTTGAAATAGTTTCAAAATTAAGTGATTTTTTTAAAATTTTGATATAAAAAAAAGTTTCACTTTAATAAAATATCTAAAATAAAATTATAAGAATAACTATTAAAACGAAATTTTCATTTAAAATTTTTATGAAAAATTTCTTTGTAATTTTTTTTTACACAAAATAATATTACACTATAAAAATTATTTTAAAAAACAAAACAAATAGGCCTATAAATACAATATAGTTGTACATTTGATTTCAACCTCACTTAAGAATAATTTAAACAAAATTAAAAAATTACAATAAAATAAATTAAACTAATTCAAAGTAAAATTAAAATAATATAACATAATAACTAAAATAAAATTTAAACAATTAATGTTGATATTTGTAAATATATAATGTTAAGAATATTTGTATGTAGAATAGTTTCACATCAACTATATCGTGTAATTAGTTGTAATCTCTTTATATATAATAAAATCTTCGTAGTGCTTTCAAAATATACGGTTTAACTTAAATGTCTCTTAGTCTCTCCTAATTCGATATGGTATCTAGAGCCTTCTAAGAGGCAATTCTTCGTCGTGCTTTACCCGATTGATCCACTGTCTTTCTGATCGGGACTTTATGAGTCTATCGGAATACTAACTGCAAGTATACAGTTTAGTCGTTCTAGTTTTAAATGATTATCGAATCCACAGAGACTGAGGATCAATCGCATACGATCTAATGTTACAAATGTTTAACTAAGCGATGAATATTTGATTTTAGGGGGGGAAATTTAATTAAAAATAATAGTAATATTTATACCGGTATGTGATAGTCGGACTTCGGGAACTAGGTGAATCATTTGGCATATAAAGTATTTCGGTAAAAACGAATTGTTTAAAAATCTGAGACATACACTCTCGTGTTCATGAAATAAGTTATGCTACTAAACCTAGTGGATGCACTTTAAATTTAATAACACTTTTTGAAAACGACTTGAGTTTAATTAATTTGTTAAAACACTCTCGTGTATTTAAAAATTAATGTTTCGTTACCACTATCTGGGTCGAACCCCAGCTCTCGCATGCAGGTTCTTGCCTTAATTAATTTCCCACTCTCGTGGCAAAATCGTGTTAAATATCCTTTCACTCTCGTGACAAGGGTAGTTAAATTAAATATGGAAATTGGAAACCATAAATTATTTATAAAAGTTTTTAGCCAAGTTATCACCAAATTCCTTCGGTGCTTAGGAGTCACATACCGGTACAAACGAAATTAGCCAGACATAATGTATTTAGCAAACATGCAACGTAAAATACAGTTCATAAAAATAATTAACATAACATATAAACAATAAAGATCGAATTGCATAAAAAACCTGTAATTATGTTGCCGTGGTAATCTTGAATTCGTACAGTAGCTTTGCGATTAATTGAAATATAGAACTAAGTCTGTTAATCCTTCGATGTGAAGAATTAACACTTTTGGGAATTGGAAAGTTATAGAGGCTCGAAGGGAAAATATAATGGTTTTAAAAGCAAGTAAACAAAATAATGCAGAAAGGAAAAAATATGGTTCTGTAGCAAAATCTCCGACCCTTTCAAAGTGAATTCTTCAACATATATATAGGCTCTTGGTTGTAACTGTCTTCTTCCATTAATTTCGTACGTGCGCTAAATTCTTGGCTGGTGGAACGAGGTCGTGTGGACTTCACGTGGCTGCTTTGTGGTTTACTGCATAGACTGAGTATTTGAAGTGTTACGTTCGTAATGGCATTCATTACGTTCGTAACAACTAGGATTTTTGTTACGTCCGTAACGCGTTATGTTACGTTCGTAACGGTGTTTGCTAGGTGTTGCGTTCGTAACGCTAGGCGTTGCGCTCGTAACGCCCTTCTGGTGTGAGCTTCTTAGCAGACTACCCCTTTTCTTCTTTCTTCTTGCCATTTCCTAGCTTGTTTTACTCCTTTTAGCTAATTTTCCATCTTATGCTTTGGAAAATATAGTTTACCTGAAACAAATAAAAATACCTTCATGATGCATATTATTCGATAAAAAACGTACAAATAAATCGTGTAAATTAGGCCTAAAAAGCGATACGTTTTCGTGTTATCAAACTCCCCTACACTTGGACCTTTGCTTGTCCTCAAGCAAAAAGATAAGGCAGTTTATAAAAACGACGAATTAAACACACGTGACAATGTTCGCAAACTAGCTAGTTTGTAAATTTTTTATTAGGCCAAGAGATTTAGATGCAAAAGAGGTACGGTGACGACATTAGAGTACTCCAATTGTGCAAACCGTTCCGAGTCATGATGTTATAGCACCAACCAACCCTTTAAACTAGATTTCACCTGTGTTCATTCAGGCGCAATCACATTAAGCCCTTTATCTCCACACACACATAGCAAAGTAACCGGTTAGCGACTATGATCCGTTGATTCTTGGGGTTCTGGCACTTATATGTGGTAACACCTTCTTTTATAACTTAATTGTAAATTGCAGGGGATCGGTTCGTAGTCCACCCTACCAAGTTCAGTACCAGATACTTCTGAACCAATTTGCAATAAGTTTTCTTTTATCTTGCGAGAATTACATCCTTTGGGCTAAACGACCGGGTGAGGGTCACCTAGCTTACTTTGGGAATTTCACGACAGAGATTTCTATTCTATCTTCACTTCTTTCGGATCATTCACTTATATTCATCGATTCCTTGTGTAGTTTCTGTTTTGACGGTGTCGACTGCTAGATAAACTACTAGGGGCTAATTTAAAGTAAAATTCGCGGTTGGCGGTATAATAAGTACCCAAAATGGCATCACATAAGGTGGAGTTCTAAAATGTCAGAACCGTAACGATTTTGTCAAACTTCCCCAAGTGGCCTAAGCTGAATTGAGTATTTGGTTTTAGCTATCCGTTTGGAAACATAGCGTTGTATGATAATTGTAAAAAAAAAAATTGTTATGCCTCAAGAATTGTAAAGTTTAGGGAATTCCAATAATGCACGAAAAAGAACTTAAGAACTTAGCAATTAAGGATTTAATTGTACATGAAGTTGTTTTGTTGAAGGGAAAGTACAAGAAAGGAAAAATGATGCGAAAAATTAAATCTAATCTAGAAAGCGAAATAAAATGATAGAGTTTCCTCCTCCACACTTAAATCTAACATTGTCCTTAATGTTTCGAAATAAGGTAAAAGAGGTAAGGATGGGAGGAGATATCTTCATTCAGGCCCTCTCCCTCTATCTCTCCCACAACCTCTTCTCTGTCCATCAAAACCAGGAAATCCAAGATGGCGCAGGCTCTCTTTAAAATCGTCCTTGCGGACACTCAAACCACCCATTTCTGTCGTAAAAGTATCCATACGGGCCTCATGCCTAGCTCCTTGTTCAATTTGTTGTTGCTGCATCTGTTGCATGAGTTGCATCATTGTAGTTTGCTGAGCCTGGATATCCGTGACCTGTTGGGATTGGCGGGTAAGCTGGGCATTCATGTCTGTCATCCTTTGAGTTTGATCCATCATTGCCTCATAAAGATCTTCAGTAGTCGGGTTACGAGGCCTTCTTCTGCGCCTAGTAGAAGTGCTTTGTATATCCTGTTGAGGTGCGGTCTGGTGCTGTGCATCCATTTCTTCTTATACCTCATCAATAGGTTACGGATTTTGATTCATCTGAGAAGCTAGGTCGGGTTCAGTGGCGTTTAAATCATAAATCCACTTATCCATGTTTGCCACATTTGTGAGCAACCTATTTGGCATAATCACACTTGGAACAATTTTGTTCCTCACCATCAAATTATACCTGCCATCATCTCGGTTCCTAATCAAACGCATGTATTTGCAGTTATTTAAATCCATGAGAAGAGGCGGTAGAGCATCAAGAGTCTCCAGTTGGCTTTGCAAATTAAGCCCATGAGCTAATGTGGTTATCAGTCCTCCGATCAAAAATGGTTGTTGTCCCCTTGCACAAAGGGATTCAAAATAACGAATAAGAAATGGAGTAGCATTTACCTTGGTATTCCCAGCTAAGCAGCAATGAAGAAAAAAT